GCTAAGAGGTGACCAGTAGGTGGGCTAAGAGGTGACCAGTAGGTGGGTTTAGAGGCGACCAGTAGGTGGGCTAAGAGGCGACCAGTAGGTGGGCTAAGAGGTGACCAGTAGGTGAGATAAGAGGTGACCAGTAGGTGGGCTAAGAGGTGACCAGTAGGTGGGTTAAGAGGCGACCAGTAGGTGAGATAAGAGGTGACCAGTAGGTGGGCTAAGAGGTGACCAGTAGGTGGGTTTAGAGGCGACCAGTAGGTGAGATAAGAGGTGACCAGTAGGTGAGATAAGAGGTGACCAGTAGGTGGGTTTAGAGGCGACCAGTAGGTGGGCTAAGAGGCGACCAGTAGGTGGGTTAAGAGGCGACCAGTAGGTGGGCTAAGAGGTGACCAGTAGGTGGGCTAAGAGGTGACCAGTAGGTGAGATAAGAGGTGACCAGTAGGTGGGCTAAGAGGTGACCAGTAGGTGGGTTTAGAGGCGACCAGTAGGTGAGATAAGAGGTGACCAGTAGGTGGGTTAAGAGGCGACCAGTAGGTGAGATAAGAGGCGACCAGTAGGTGGGCTAAGAGGCGACCAGTAGGTGGGTTAAGAGGCGACCAGTAGGTGGGCTAAGAGGTGACCAGTAGGTGGGTTTAGAGGCGACCAGTAGGTGGGCTAAGAGGTGACCAGTAGGTGGGCTAAGAGGTGACCAGTAGGTGGGCTAAGAGGTGACCAGTAGGTGGGTTAAGAGGCGACCAGTAGGTGGGCTAAGAGGTGACCAGTAGGTGGGTTTAGAGGCGACCAGTAGGTGGGCTAAGAGGTGACCAGTAGGTGGGCTAAGAGGTGACCAGTAGGTGGGCTAAGAGGTGACCAGTAGGTGGGCTAAGAGGCGACCAGTAGGTGGGTTAAGAGGCGACCAGTAGGTGGGCTAAGAGGTGACCAGTAGGTGGGTTAAGAGGCGACCAGTAGGTGGGCTAAGAGGCGACCAGTAGGTGGGCTAAGAGGCGACCAGTAGGTGGGTTTAGAGGCGACCAGTAGGTGGGCTTAGAGGCGACCAGTAGGTGGGCTAAGAGGCGACCAGTAGGTGGGCTAAGAGGCGACCAGTAGGTGGGTTTAGAGGCGACCAGTAGGTGGGCTAAGAGGCGACCAGTAGGTGGGCTAAGAGGCGACCAGTAGGTGGGCTAAGAGGCGACCAGTAGGTGGGTTTAGAGGCGACCAGTAGGTGGGCTAAGAGGCGACCAGTAGGTGGGCTAAGAGGCGACCAGTAGGTGGGCTAAGAGGCGACCAGTAGGTGGGCTAAGAGGTGACCAGTAGGTGGGTTTAGAGGCGACCAGTAGGTGGGCTAAGAGGTGACCAGTAGGTGGGCTAAGAGGCGACCAGTAGGTGGGTTAAGAGGCGACCAGTAGGTGGGTTAAGAGGCGACCAGTAGGTGGGTTAAGAGGCGACCAGTAGGTGGGCTAAGAGGCGACCAGTAGGTGGGCTAAGAGGTGACCAGTAGGTGGGTTTAGAGGCGACCAGTAGGTGGGCTAAGAGGTGACCAGTAGGTGGGCTAAGAGGCGACCAGTAGGTGGGTTAAGAGGCGACCAGTAGGTGGGTTAAGAGGCGACCAGTAGGTGGGCTAAGAGGCGACCAGTAGGTGGGCTAAGAGGCGACCAGTAGGTGGGTTTAGAGGCGACCAGTAGGTGGGCTAAGAGGCGACCAGTAGGTGGGCTAAGAGGCGACCAGTAGGTGGGCTAAGAGGTGACCAGTAGGTGGGTTAAGAGGCGACCAGTAGGTGGGCTAAGAGGTGACCAGTAGGTGGGCTAAGAGGCGACCAGTAGGTGGGCTAAGAGGTGACCAGTAGGTGGGTTAAGAGGCGACCAGTAGGTGGGCTAAGAGGTGACCAGTAGGTGGGCTAAGAGGCGACCAGTAGGTGGGCTAAGAGGCGACCAGTAGGTGGGCTAAGAGGTGACCAGTAGGTGGGCTAAGAGGTGACCAGTAGGTGGGTTAAGAGGCGACCAGTAGGTGGCAGTACTGCAAACGTGTGGTTGTTGTCTTCTCTTACGCGTGGGTTTTCCCCGGGAACTCCGGTTTCCTCTCCACCCGCAGGCCCATCAATATTCAAACTTGACGAAGAGTGGCGTCCGGTTACAGATCAATCCATCACTAGTATAAAACACGTAATGATCTATTCTTACGCTCAATATACATCACATCGAATCGCGCGTGCGCACGAATCGATCGTTTATAGTTTATGGCTCCCGGCAGGATGTGTAATCGGGGAGATGGAGCGATGAAATCGGCTCGTGTGCAGTTTGATGGATTATTATTTTCAGTATAAGCATCCCATGTTCGTGAGAGATGGCTATGATATAGGCCTTAATCCATAAGTGGATTTATCAATGGCTTATGATGGTTTTAGTGAGTTATACCAGTACAGTATAGACTCTATAATTGTCCTGCACTCTCATAATGAGGCAATGATTAGCGCTATGCGCTACGAACAGCCGACCCGAGTTATGCCATTAAATAGCTGACATGGCTAACATCAGAGGCAAATAATATCTGAACCGGTCCTGGTCATCCCTTTGGTGAACTCAGCCTGACACGAGTAACATCATTACAAACCCCCAAGTATCACGGATCAAATTCAGGTAGGACCCCACTCTTACCACTGAGCTGAGCTTAAGGTCGTCCAGTCCGCACGAGGGAACTGTACATCATGACCTTTAAAAACACAAAGCTATTTTACCCCCCCCCCCCCCCGTGTGCCCTCACCCCCCACTTCCCCTACCCCCTCTGCCCTCTACTCACCCCCTCCCTCCATCGGCCCCATCCACCGCCCGCGGTTATGCACCGTTCGGAACCGGAGAGGCGACTTCCCTCACCCCCCCCTCAACCCACCTCAACCCCCCACCCCTCAACCACCCCCTCTCACTTCCGGATGCTTCTCACCTGAGAGAGAGGGGCGGGGTGCGGGCACCTGGGCGCGGTCACGTGACCCCGTGCTCGCTGACTCATGAACTCATTGAGGGGGCTCGGGGTGTAGGGGGGTGGTGGTGAAGGAACCCATCGTGGTGACTTGAGTTGTGGGTTGCGTTGCGCTACGACCTTGCTTGGCGACCAGAGTTCGAATTCCGCTCACGGCCCCCAACGTCAGTGACGAATTATCTGAACCGGTCCTGGGCCTCCCCTAGGTCGACTCGGCCTCAAATGAGTACCTGGCGCGATGTGAAAACTACGCAACTGGGGAGACAAATGCGGTTGGGCGTGGTGTTGGCCACACCACCACCTCGCATACCGGTGCGGCCTTAATTGGTGGTCGCTAACATCGTTTTCCCCTACAGTCTGATCATGCTATATGTGGGAGATTTGTCTGTGTGATGACTGCGGTCCCAAACGAAACCCAATGATACCTGGGGGTAGGTAGCGGGGATGAAACCCCTGCCGGAGAGTGTGAGGCAGAGCTAGGAAGGACGTTTAAAAAAAAAAACAATCAAGCTAGCTGAACAGAGGCACAAAGGCCCCAAAAGCCAAGCGGGTTAACAACACGACGCTGAGCGAGGTCGTAGCAAGTTTGGGACAAGACGAGACGATGGGGGAGCAGTGCGAGGAGGCGAAGTGTTGCCGTGACTTGCAGTGCGGTGGTAGAACAGGCCAAGCATGGCTCGAGGGTGAGAGGGGGTGGGCGTGCTGGCCTAGTGCTCGGCATTGGTGCAGGAATCGGTGGAGTTGGCAGAGTTCTCGCGGGTGGGGACGATCGTTAATTTACGAGATGGATTGACACGTCGGCTTTCGCGACCAATATCATCCATAAGAGGTTTGTTTGGGGTTAGGGCCCGTCCATAAATGACGTCACGCGATTTTGGACGATTTTTTACCCCCCCCCCCCCCCCAACTCGTCACACGGCGTTACAAAAAGTCAGACCCCCCTCAAATATGACGTCACAAAGCTCAACCTCCCCCCCCCCAAAAAAAACATATTTCCATTTTGAAAATAAAACATGCTTCAAATCGCTTTACACTATTGTCATTGTAGTGCGTATTTAATGTGGCGCTGCTCTCTGATGTTGTAGGAGAAAACATTTATAAAAAAATCGATTTAATTAAGTAGAACGTGTTGTCTATATTTATTTAAAGTTGCGCATTTTGATGTGACGGCACATTTATCACTCCCCCCCCTCGTCACACATCGTCACAAATGTCTGATCCCTCCCTCCCTAGGTGCGTGACGTCATTTATGGACGGCCCCTTAGATTTAACCCCAAAAGAACCTCTGTTAGAGATGGAATGAAGTGCGATATAGGCTGGATGGGAATGGGAGGAATACGGGGCAGAAGGAATCAATCTCGATTTTAAGCTTTCGTAACTGCAGGAATCCATACTCGTTGGTTCTTTCGGTAAAGTCACATAGGTATAAAATAAAATAAATCACGAAGTTTCGCCCACTTCAGCAAAATAAATTTATTGCTGTGGTTTTCCCACCTGAGGACGACCGCTTGTGTTGCAAACGAAACGTCGTGATTTATTTTATTTTATACCTCCGTGACTTTACCGAAAAAAACACAGAGTCGTGAAGGAATCGTTGAGGGCATCCGTGCTGACTGCATCTCCACCACTAAGCCCGCAAGCGGCGAAGACTCCCTCGTCATCCGAGATGGCGAGCTGGCATTGCCTCCCCCACACCACACACCCCGTCTCCCCCACACCCCTCTCTCCCGCCGCCTGTGCCGTACCTGGCGACCACATGGCGCGACTCCACACGCGGCGCCCCTCGTCCCCCCCCCCCGGCTCGCCACAACAGATCCCCTCTGAGCCCCCCACCCTACCACCCACACTGCCCCCCCCCCCACTCCGTACCCAGCGGCACTGACTCTGCTTGGTGTTAGAGTGACGCCAAGATTGCAATGCGAACACGAGAATTGGGCCTGACATCGGGCCCGGGGTCGCGCTATGATCATTGGAAGGGATAGTACTAGTGTCTGGTTTGTCAGAGTTAGGGCTGGAGTTGGTTAGGGTTACGGGAAGGGTTAGCACTAGTGGCTGGTTAAAAAGGGTTAGTACTAGTGACTAGTTTGTTATGGTTTATGGGTGCTACTATTGGCAGGTTCATGATTCGCATCATTAAATAAACAAAAGTTGACAAGTCGCGGGTCAGGTGGGTGCTTTTATGCGCAGAAACCGGTTTCCATTACATGTATGTGCACACGGGACTCATGAATTGACATTATATTTTAGCATCACAGTTTTTTTTTTTTTGAAAAATATGCTTACGTAATAATAAGACATTCAACGTACAAAGCATGTAAATCATGTCACCGCATCTCAAGACGCTCACGCACGACACGTTTCGTAGGCGTTCATATCCAGAGAGAATCGCCTATCAGATTGACCACACGTCGCAATGGAAGCAAAGGCAGCGAGCGTTGCGGCACTGCGCTACGGAGCATCTGAACGAGCATCTGGCACTCGTTGGAAAAGGACCTGGGTCACGTATCAACGTGAAGATGTCCGTCATGGCCAAAGCCGCTGATAGCGCCTCCAGCGCCGCACCTGCTCGCTGCGAGAGCTTTCTCCCCTCCGCCAGATCCCGCTGCTGCTGCACGGTAGAGACACGAGACTACGTCCAAGATCTGCCCTGACCGTCTTCCACTATCTGGCCTTCGGTCTTGTCTTCTCCTTGGTCAACGGCCTCGTAGAGACCACTCCAATGGCTATTTCGGTAACCGCCCCCCCCACCCATCCCATCCTGCAGAAACGTATCCCACCCAGTACAGTGCGGGTTATCCAAACATATCTCCAACACTCACCTGCCGTCGGTACAGAGGACATGGGGCTCGTTACCGGGGACTTGGAATCTCACCCGGTCTCTTAACACAATGGATGTAGCTGACTGACATACAGGGCGGGTCGGGGAGCAGTAGCGAGGTTTCCCCTGTATCCCATCTCACGGCCACGATAGCGGCTGCTTTGGGCCTGAGGGGGGCTGGGGTGGGGGGGCTCCCAGGGCCCACGTGGAGTCTCCTGGGCAGGAGGGGGGGATTTGGGACCACCCCCCGCCGCCTCGAGGTGACTCTTCTTGGGCAGGGAGGCCATGAGCGCCAGGGACATCCTCACAGCATCCGGGTTGATGGAGGGAGCAGCGAGGAGGAGCGCGCGGTTCACCTGCCAACAAAGACAAAGATCCCCTATATAGGCATGTGGACTGTTGGGGTAAGTGCTGTCAGTTCATATTAAGGCCGGAAAGGTACACTACGGGGCTGGGTGGCCACCGTGGTCTCCTCGTCGCCGATATTTTAGACACCGCATCGGGTAATGACTTAAGGCTGAGCCGACCTAGGGTATGCTCAGGACCAGGTTCAAATATCCGCCACTTTTGTTGGTCGTGAACGGGGAATCGAACTCGTGTCGCCGGGTTTCGCAGTGCAGTGCGCTAACCACTGCGCCACCGCTCTCCCACACACGCGCGGATGAGTGGGTCTCGCATGAACGCGCGGGCGCCGCACGAGGCAGGTGAATGTCTCTGGTAGCGTAACGAGGCGGGTGGTGGTGGTGGTGGCGCCTTCGACTGCTGATAACTCTCGACCGGTAACCTCGGTGCACCTTGCGAATGCGCCTGCCGATTTTGTTTTCAAAGTAGCAAGTGCTCCATTAATCCCATGTGGCTCTCCCTCTCTATCTCTTGAGGTATGTAAGGGCCGTGTAGAAGGGCCACTGTCCGAAACGTCGCCTTTTATTCATATCATCCTTTTATGGCCACCGTGTTATTGATGAACACGTTGAGGGTGTTTGTGTTGTTGTCCTCTGAGAAGGAAGTTTGTGGTCTTAATTGGCTCGTGATAACTAATTGATTGCTGAATAAAGGTCCGGTCCCCACTGCGTGTCGCATGTGTGGGGGGACTGTTTGACCATACTTCACCACGCTGGTCATTGCAGGTTGGTGCAGGCGAGGCTCGAGACCGGTTCAGATATCACTCGCCAATGACGATGACCTTGGTCAAACAAATCGAAGCTCCAATTTGTCGACAGCCGAACCTCCGATTAGCACGGTTGGCTACGGTGCGAAAGAAGTTCAACTTACATATGTGTAGTGCACTAACCACCGCGCCACCGTTCCCCACCTGATTGGTTACTTACGTGCTCACACACAAGATCGTCTCTCTCTTGTACATGTACAGAGTCCTCTTATCGATCTACTGCTGGCTGAAGGCTCCCACGCGACTGCGAGGGCTGTGTGGATTAATTGCCCAGAATAGACGTCCAAGCATAGAATTGAAGTTCAACGGTGGATTTTGTTCCACTGCGCTCAGCTGTCTGCCGCGTTTCAACTCAGTCGCCTGTGTCTACCTGTTAGTTGCACGGGGGTCACCAATTCAAGTACACTATTGACCAGGTTCAATCTCTGCTTAGCTTCCCTGGCCTGACGAAAACAGGCCCATTGCGGGTGGTTTGTCATAGTTGGCCTCTTGGTGTGTCTGCCTCTTTGTATTGTGTCTTCATCTATCTCCACCCGATGTGTCTGCGTGTGGAAGTCCGCGTCACCTCTGCCGAGAAGCAGAAGGTGCAGATGCTGAGCCCTCAGAAGCAGCAGATCATGGAGAGCACGGAGGAGGAGGAGGAGGACGAGAAGGAGGAGGAGGAGGCCAGGTGGACGCGAGGCGCCACGGGAAGGAACTGGTCCTCGCTGCCCGCCTCGCTTGACGAATCACTCTGTGCCACCAACAACAACAACAACCGCCATTCGCCGCTAAGTGGTGGTGACGTCACCGCGGCGCTTGTGCCAGGCTCGGTGCACATTCTGGCACCACCACCGCAACCGTCACGGTAACGCGACCACCCCAAAGACGCGAAGTCAACTATCACCACGATGATCTAGCAGATGACCACCAACAATCATCGCCGTGATGACACCACCATCGCCACCGCCATCACGAAGACGCCGCATCACGATGATAGATCACCATCAAGATAAAACAACCGCTAGCTCGATCACTGCGATGACGAAACCATCCCTATCACCATCATCACCACCACCGCCACCAACACCACTACCACCACAATAACACCACCATCTCTCCCACCACTACCAGCTTTGCCACAACCCCGCTCGATACCAAATCCCTACCACCTCGACCATAACTACCATCAACCCACGGGGAAACCACCATCCCTACCACCACGACCACAATGATGACTATAACGACGTGACTACCACCACCACGACCACCATTCCACTCCCTCGGGGGTCCCACCTCGCGCTCCTCCGCCGAGTCCTCGCTGTTCGAGGCGGAGGAGGATGAGTCAGTGCTGGAGTCGCTGCTGGAGGAGGCAGTGCGGGATAGCTGTGCCACCCTCGCTTTGCTGCCGTCCATCGATGTCGTCTCGCAGCACGCGGGGAGGCTGCCTGCCTTCTCGCGGAGCTCCGTGGCGGGGCCCGGCCCCAACACGGAGCTCCGCAAGGGCGCCTCCTCGGTGAAGAGCAGCGGACCGGGCTGAGGAACAGGGCGGGCAATCTCGGGGCTTTGTAGGACGCGCGGGTCCAGCACCTGCGGGAGGAGGGGATCCTGGTCAGCTCCTTCATCTCACCCCTCACCTGTACCACGTGACCCTCGCCTGGGCACCAGGTGAGCCTCAACCTCGTCCACGAGGCCTTCACCTGGAGTCATCTGACCCTCACCTGCTCCGCGCTGGGTAGCCCCGCGGCGCCGTTCAACACGGGGATGTCCATGGAAGATACGGAGCGGGCCAGCTCCTTCTCATTCACGGCCAGAGGGGGCTCGACTCGGGGATCAGAGGTTGAGTCACTCTCACTGCGACCCGCAACAACAACAGCAGCAGCACCACCATTAACAACAGTCCGTCTCGACAGTATATACATACATTATATAATTCACAGCCCTTGGTCAATGTACTGCTGGACGAAGGCCTTCCCAGGCCGTGTCGGTCATGGGGGTTGCTGGACCATACTTCACCACGATGGTCAGTGCAGATTGGTGACGTGTGCATTCCAAGGACCGACTCAGATATCACTCGCCACTGATGTTAGCTGATGGCCGGGATTTGAACTCAGGTAGCTAGTAGTGGAGTGCGCTAACCACCGCGCCACCGCTCCATCCCCAATATAATGCAACATGCTGTAAAAATAACAATGCCCTTTATCCAGGAGAATCTCCTTGAGTCATCGTACTCTTTTAAGGGGGTCCCACACTCACCACTTCCATTAATGAGCATTTTGCACTCGCACATTTGCAATTGCATTGTTACCCATTTCATCATCATTATCATTAACGGGGCGTGGTCAATCAACTGCTGGATGAAGGCCCACGCAAGCTGCGGCCACGTCTCACGATCCTGCGACATAACCCACCCGGCATGTGCAGATGCACCGATTCCATTGCTCCCGCCTGTGCTAATCGACGGTACAATTCACTGCATAACCCAGGCTCCTTCCTGAAACCCTCACCCCCGCCTGCACCTGTGTCGGCACTGTCAGGATGAAGCGGTCGATGCCTCGGGCCGTCGCATCCTTCCCGTTGGCAGGGGTGGCAAACCGAAGCTGGGACGTTCCCGGTGACAGCAGCCGTTGCCCTCGCCGCTGCTCGATCCCTGGTTCAGGGACCCACCGAGGGGCCGAGGGGGATCCTAGAGGAAGCGAGGCTGCGTGGGTGGAGGTGTGGCTCCCATTGGCTGTGTTACGGCTCCCCCCCCCCCCCCCGTCGCTCGCTGATCTCTCTACTACCGCCCCTCAGCCGCGGACGCACGAGGAGAGAATTTTAATCAACGCGACTGTAACTCGCACACTGCGTCTGCAGAGCGCGGCAGCTCACGTGTGTGGAGAGCGGTAATGTAGTAGCGGTTAGCGTGCTGCGCTACGAACCCCGGCCACCCGAGTTCGATTCCCGTTCACTGACAAAAATAGTGACGGTTATTTGAACCGGTCCTGGGCTTCCCCAAGGTCGACTCGGCCTCAAATGAATATCCGGTGCGTTGTGTAAACTTCGCCACCAGGAGACAAAGACGGCATGGCATGGTGCTGACCACCCACCCCCTCGTGTGCCGTGCCGGCCTTCATAGTTGCTTGCTAACAGCAATTTCCCCAACAGTCTGTTGAGGCTATATAGATGATCTTTGTCTTTGTGACAGCAACCGTGATCTATCCGCTGCTGGCTAGAAGCCTCCTCCTCAAGCAGTCGCCATCTCCCAGGTCTTTCTCACAATGCAGCTATCCTTCTGGAGCCTATACACGAGATGATTTCATCACTCTATCTCCGCGGTTAATGACTCCTCGAGCATGTTCGAGACCAATCGCTCCGTTATTGAGACTCGCAAAACCGACCATCAACGATTCTAACTAAAATTCCTGCACGAGCGCACTCCCTTACCTTAACAATTCACATTATTTCACTAACTTTCGTATTTTCCCTAATCCACGTGTTTTCCTCTTTTCTTATCTCGATCATTTACTACCCTCGTTAATGACGCCTCAAACTCGCGTCGAACAGTCGAGACACGCGACCCCCGTGTGCATCTACAAAATGCAAGCATTTTGAAAAATAAATGTCCCGTTGTTGTAGTACTGGGAAGTGAGGAAGAAGGGCGTGGAGTGGTCAGCACCCCTCCCAGGGCGGACAGCTCCCGCCCGGGCCACAGGCCTCCGTGGTGGGGGGGGGGGGGTATATTCGGTTGCCTCCAGTCAAATTCCAAATGCGTAATTACATCTCGAGAATATATTTTCATTCGCATCTCTTGTAGCGAGCGGCCACTGGCTGTGGTCACCTATCAGAAATGAATACAAAAAACTTGATAGTCGTCCAGACACTCCCTCACCGGCGGTCTGTCGCCTCCTAATTACTCTCCTATCGCTCCAACATACCCACTGCGTTTACTGTTGCCGTGCAATTCACTCGTTGGGTTTCTCCTCCCCATGTTTGAGGACGCTGTTCGACCGCCTCTCCCGCAGGTCGCAACATTCCTCTTTCCAATCGTTCGAGCACAATGACCGCCTCTTGGACCACGATGGCTACCTGTACCTGGTCATTCGTGCTGCACCGGTGGATCACGTGCCTCACTGTGATTGTCAATCAAGACGTGTTGGCCTCACCGGGATTCATGCGTGCGTCGGTGTAGCAACTACACTCTGGACACAACAGCCCGCCTGGAGTAAATGACACGAGTACACACATTCTGTTATTCTCCAGATATGACATGTGTATATTTCGTTTTCCTCGCAATTATTTTGAGCCCAACTATGCAGCTTCCTTTATTAATCTCTATGGTACAGCCACGATGCACACGTTACCTTCCACAGTATATCTGTTTCATGTGCCTGTAACTTAATTATACGCGATCTAACATTGACTTATGTTCGCGCAATGTAATTTGATTTATCATGTGATGCAATTGTCTTTGCACCATTTTCTCTTTGATTAATTCCTGTACGGTAAGTCATCGCTTAACTCGCGGTGTTCACACAACGCGATTTTGCAACGTTGCGGTTCTTCCATTTGGGAACACTTTTCGCACGGTGTGGAAAGCGCACCGTTATAACGCGAAACGCGCCTATTATAACGCGGTTTCTGAGAGGTCGACGACAAACCACTTTCTTGAGCTGCACAGCTGAGCGGTTTAATACACCACGCGGAATGACAGTGGGCCAGCGGCGCACCCTCAGCTATGTCCCGTCATCTTACCGTATGTGCGTACATCGTATCTCGCCAAACATGATCGTTTATGGGGACATTTTTTCGCTTAACGCGTTGGTCGCAGCACTTTTCAGGAACGTGTCTGCAACGTTAAACGAAGACTTAATGGACTGAATTTGTTGTATTTGCGTTTGTCACATTGGTGACCCAGGCACTTTTTTTAAATGCCTGTCCTTGTCTCAAGAACTCACCTGGTAAAAGCAAATGAACGTTGGGCCTTTGGTTACATATCTCATTGATTGACCTTATGTCCACGTACACCCTTGCCCAACGCTCACACCCACCTTGCCAAGCAAGTCCCATCCGTTGAGGCCCAAAAGAACACGAAGCTCAACACGTTCGTCATTAACACTGACATTAAAAGGATAAATAGACGTTTTGGGCAATGGCCCTCCTTCATAGCACATTGAGGCGAGAAAGATGGAGTGGATAATTCGTCATTGTGTTAGATCGCTTAAATATATGCGGTAAAACCCGCCACCACACAGCCAACTAGTAAGGTTTGTCACGTAAACAGAACATGCCAATTCGTTACTAAGCCACAACATTAACAATGTAAGTACGACGTATCGCCAGTAGTTACAACTAGCTTCATCAGGCAAGAGCCAGATTTGTCGAGTTTTTTACAATTTAGATATTTACGCGATCTAACCCAAAAAAACACTCTATTATGGATATTGGTCACGAAAGCCTGCTACGCGTTAAACGGAGAGGATACTAATGGTTGAAGACTGCACTCGTTAACACCGTGAAGCTTGATGAGAATTTGTTTTTAATTTTCGAATCAGTTTTTTAAGTGGAATATGGTTATCAAATGCTATTACCCATATCGTGAAGAGAGGGTCCTTGGCTGTCAGATCGGCAGTTAACTAGCATTGATTCAAGCAAGTCTGATTCAAGCATTGATTGAAGCAAGTCTGACTGCTGATAAGACATTTATATCAAACCCCGGTCCAGAGTTGTGATTGTCTTGAAGCAATGCTACAGACATTGTTACATTCAGAAGGCCGTGGCAGCTGATTTAATACTTTTTTATATATATAGAGACGGATATGTACAGATGTTTTTTTTTTTGTTTTGTTAATAATAGCTATTGAGTGACAGACAAAACCTGCAATAAAAAAAACATTTAACATTTAAAGGACACGGATCTCACCGACGGGGCGGAGTTTACACCCAAGGGAGGCGTGGTTAAAATGAAAGAGGAGGGGCCTATAGCCAGACCCGAAGCACAAGAACATGGGGGTGGAGCCCCTACGAAGAGGGGGAGGGATATTCTTAGGTTTTTTTCGGTAAAGTCACGTAGGTAAAAAATTAAAATGAATAAAAGTAAAATAAAAATCACGACGTTTCGGAGGCAACACAAGCTTCCGTCTTCAGGTGGAACCGTCACAGCACGCTTGCTGTATCAAGTAAGAGAAATTCCAAGAACACACTATTTGTATATATACTGGTTGAGGGTGGGAGGAGCCAAGGTAGGCCCTGAATATTATTTTTGTGAGGTTCGGTGCGGCTGAAGCACCACGCTGTTAGAAATTGGCCTTCGTTGTGTAAACTAGGTGCGGATGATGTAAAGGTGCGTGCAAAAGGGGCTGAGCCTGTGTCTAAAGGGGGCGGGGTGCCGGGTTCTGAGCTCGAAGCCGCTTATGCCCAAACAAGGCGACGACTTGGAAGGGACGCGCGCCACGCTCGTGCCCATATAAGGCGACGATGGCTCGAGTCGCCTTCAGTTTCGCTGCGGGGCGCATGGCGACTATAGCTGGCAATGGTCCCGCTTCGCCGCGCCCAACACGAGGAGGGCCGCCCGCCTATCCACCGTGAAAAGAAAAGCCTCGAGAGGCAGGCAAAGTGAGAGAGCCCCCCACCAACAGCCCCCCCTTGCCCCCCATGAAGCCTCCATCTCGGCACGTCGCGCGCCGTCTTAGGCAAGGACGCGTGCGAGAGGAATGACGCAACGCCCGACATGGCACGGGGGCTTCCCACAGGCTCGCGCTGCCCTTCGCTTCCAGACGTGTAGCACCCCCCCTCCCCCGCCCGCCTCTCTCCCTACATGTCCACATGTCCCCGCCTCCCTCTCCCTACATGTCCACATGTCCCCGCCTCTCTCCCTACATGTCCACATGTCCCCGCCTCCCTCTCCCTACATGTCCACATGTCCCGCCTCTCCCCTGCATGTCCACATGTCCCCGCCTCTCTCCCCCTGCATGTCCACATGTCCCCGCCTCCCTCCCCTACATGTCCACATGTCCCCGCCTCCCTCCCCCTGCATGTCCACATGTCCCCGCCTCCCTCCCCCTGCATGTCCACATGTCCCCGCCTCCCTCCCCCTGCATGTCCACATGTCCCCGCCTCCCTCTCCCTACATGTCCACATGTCCCCGCCTCCCTCCCCCTGCATGTCCACATGTCCCCGCCTCCCTCCCCTGCATGTCCACATGTCCCCGCCTCCCTCCCCCTGCATGTCCACATGTCCCCGCCTCCTCCCCCTGCATGTCCACATGTCCCCCCCTCCCTCCCCCTGCATGTCCACGTCCCCGCTCCCTCCCCCTGCATGTCCACATGTCCCCGCCTCCCTCCCCCTGCATGTCCACATGTCCCCGCCTCCCTCCCCCTGCATGTCCACATGTCCCCGCCTCCCTCCCCCTGCATGTCCACATGTCCCCGCCTCCCTCCCCTGCATGTCCACATGTCCCCGCCTCCCTCCCCCTGCATGTCCACATGTCCCCGCCTCCCTCCCCCTGCATGTCCACATGTCCCCCGCCTCCCTCCCCCCTGCATGTCCACATGTCCCCGCCTCCCTCCCCCCTGCATGTCCACATGTCCCCGCCTCCCTCCCCCTGCATGTCCACATGTCCCCGCCTCCCTCCCCCTGCATGTCCACATGTCCCCGCCTCCCTCCCCCTGCATGTCCACATGTCCCCGCCTCCCTCCCCCTGCATGTCCACATGTCCCCGCCTCCCTCCCCCTGCATGTCCACATGTCCCCGCCTCCCTCCCCCTGCAT